CTCTCCTGTTTTTTCTTCAGCTTCTCTGTGACCTGGAGAAAGAAAGGCAGAGACCATAAGCTGGGGGTTCTGCAGGTCCCATCCCCCGATCCACAGGCCTGTCCCCTTCCCAAAGCCCTACTGTTCAGCTCACCTTGTTCACCTCCTCTTGAAGCCGGGACACCTCTGCCTGGTGGGATTCCTATAGGAACGTGAGAGGGGTGGGTCATGGGGGTCTACCCCTCAAGGAAAGGTAACTAAAAATCTGGGCTTCCCAGCCCCTTCCCATCTAGAGAACCCAGGTGTCCATTTTCACCCCCCATTTGCCCCTCCACTCCCAAAGAACCCAAACATCTGGGCTCCTAATCCCTGCCAAGATCCTAGACCCCAGGCCCCTGCAAACCAGGCATCTAGGCTCCTAGAAGCCCCTGATCTCAGCCCCACTCCCCACCCAAAGAACCCTGGTGTTGCAGGTGTGTGGGCTGACCTGGGTGCACTGGAGCTGCTCCTGCAGCAGCCGCTTTTCTTCCTTCTCCGTCTCCCAGCTCAGCTCTAGTTCAGCCAGTCCAGGTGGAGGGGGGCCCTGGGAGGGGTCCCCTGGCCCCTCCCCTGCCCCAGGGGGGCCATCGCCACAACCCCCGGTGCCCCAGCTCCCTGCATCCTGCAAGGCTGAGGGCATAGAGTCACCGCCAGGCCACTCCTTGAAAGCTGGGAGTTGCCCGGGCTCCCAGACCCCTGCTGTCAACCCTCAATACCCCTACAAAGAACCCAAGCAACAGGCTCCCTGTGCCCCCTGCTCAGACTCCCAGCTGCCCACCCAGAACCCAGGTGTTTGGGTTCCCAGATCTCACCCCCAGGGCCCATGCCCCTGCCAGACAACCCAGGTGTAGGCTCCCAGCTCCTCCTGCTCTAACCACTACCCTCTACTCGTTGCCCAGAGAACCCAGACATCTGAACTCCCAACCCCACACCTCCACTCTATTCCACCAGCTCTCCCCCTACCCCAAACCAGGAGAGAACCCAAGTGCCTGGGTTACTGTCCCCGGACCACCCCCTCATACACCCAGCACCCACTCCCCTCCCCCCCTGCAGAAAACTCAGGCATCCAGGCTCCCAGTGCCCCCAGTACCTGCCACATGGCGCAGTGCTGTGTTCTCTGCCTGCAGCCGCAGCAGCTCAGGGCCAGGGGGGGCTGGAGGGGGTGCTGGGGCCCCCTCCCGCAGCCGTGCATTCTCCTGTTCCAACCCCTCAATCTGGCTGCACAGCTGGGGGAGGCAAGGTCATGATGCTGGCCCTGCCCTGCCCCCTCCAGGATCCCTCCAACCCCTGAGAATCTGAACAGTATACTCAGCTTTCTCATCACTGCTCTGCTCCAGAGCTAGGCGTACCTGGACCATTGTGTAGGGTGTCATATTCCTCTGTTTCACCATGTACCTAGCTCCATCTTGACCCTATCTATGCTTCATTATACTCTGCTGTTCCCCAGTCACTCCACCCCGAGCTGAGTGCATCTCAGCCCTCCCCATGTTCTGTTACACAAAGCTGTTCCCAGTCATCCGACTCCGGAGCTGACTATATGCTGACCTCGCCATGCCCTGTAATACTCAACTATTTCCTCACTGCTCCCCCAAAGGCTGACTGCATTTTAGTCCCCCTGTGCCTCACTATATTCAGCCACTTTCCCCCGAAGGGGGCTACATCCCCTGCCTCACACCTTGGAGAGCTCAGCCAGCAAGGTGCTACTCTGCAGCCGGAAGTCATCCTCCTGGCTGTGCAGCTTCCCCTGAAGCATCTCTGTCTCGCTCAGCAGTGCCTCTACCTCCTGAAGTAGAATGGACATGGAAGAGTATCAGGGCCAGCCTGGGACACTCCACTCCCGGACTCTCCCAGACCCCCTCCCCAGCCAACTCATGACTCCCCCCATAGCCTCCACCTCCTGCAGGGGGAGTCAGGGCCAGTCTAGGACCCCCTCCCCCAGGACTTCCCATAGCTTCCACCTCATTGGTCGGGG